GGAGCCGTCCCCTGGACAACATGCGGCTGCTCCTGGGGCTCCTGCTGGTGCTGGCGCTGTGCGGGGACCCCGGTAAGTGCGCGGCCCTGGCCCGGGCCCTCGCGGGCCCCACGCCCTGCACCCTGACATCGATGGCTGCCCCTGTCAGCCAGGTCTTGCCCCTCCGCGCCTGCCTCCCAGCCTTCCTGGTGGGGGGCGCGTGGCCCCCATTCACGGGCGTGCTCGCTGCTCTGGCCCCACTGCGGGCCATGGGCCAGCTGCCTGCCGAGGGCGCCCTGGGTCCTCCCTCCCACACCGGCCCCGGCCCTGCCCCCCCACAAGGCCTGCCCCCTCTCTGCGCCCCCCCACCCCCCGCCTGGCCCTGGGTGTCCCGCAGACCCCGCCCTGTGGGCCTCTCGGTCCTCCGCAGCCTCCGTGCAGGGACCCCTCCTCGCCCGGTCCTGGGCCGGCCGCCTGTGCTGAAGAGAAACAACCCAGGGCGGGGGCCCAGGTCCTGCCGCACCCCAAGAGCAGGACCAGGGCGGGGCCGGCGGGGGCCCTGGCTTCGTGTTGGCGGGGGGAGAACCAGTCAGCGGGGTCACGGGCTGCACGGTGTCCTGCGGGCTGGCCACCCCCGGCCCCCACGTCCCCCAGCCCAGCCCGCAGGTGGTCCCCACCTGCCCCCCAAGTCGTCTCCAGCTCAGGCCCCTCCCCCTCGGGGCACCCCCTTCCCGCAACCCCAGAGATCACGACACAGCCTGCTGCTGGCCCGGTCACTGCGCATCCAGTGGGAGGCCCAGGCTCGGAGGCCCAGGCCCCTGCCAGGCCCGTGTCCGCCGCGCCCTGCAGCCAGCTCTCCGGCCCTGCCCACGCCGCCGTCCTCACTGCCCCCAGCCCACAGCACCTCTGGGCGCGGCCTCAGGCCCAGGCTGACCTCCGTCCAGCAGGCCTGGCTGCCCGGGCTCGCACGAGATGCCGCCGGCCTCAGCGCCCGCCCGAGGCCCCCACAGGCAGCCTGCTCCCCGACCCCCGTCTGGGGGCCGCGAGGGGCTGACACCCCGAGGCCCTTGGAGACGGGCGTGGTGCCGGGCGGCAGCCCACCGCTCCCCATCTGTCCGTCCTGTCCGTCCACCCCTCTGTCTGGCCGCAGCCCGAGGCCTGTGGTGCCACCGGTGTGAGGGCTTCGGGGGGTGCCTCCGGGAGTCCAGATGCCCGCGGGGCTCCGACCACTGCGTCACCATCGCCACCCGTGAGTGGGGTGCGGGGCCGGGAGGGGGGTGCTCAGAGCCTGCGAGCCCAGGGGTCTCTCTCCTCCCACACAGGGCGCCCCCACAGCCCCCAGGACCTGCCTCTGGTCACCAAGATGTGCCGCCGCGGCTGCCCCGACGCGGCCCGCCTGGGCCTGGGCCCCCACGTGTCCATCTCCTGCTGCCAGGCCGGCCTCTGCAACCGGGGCTGACACCCCGGGCCTCTGGAGACCCGGCCCGGCCAGCCGCCTGCCCCCGCCCACCCAATAAAGGCTGACTCGGCTGCCCGCGGGAGTGGAGATGTGGTGCCCGCCGCCCCCCGGAGCCCCACGAGTGTGCACCCCCACCCTGGTGCTCGGGCGCCACCACGGCCCCGCTGGCCTGGTCTCGGCTCCGCTCCCAGCGCGCTCACGGCCCTGTCCCGCCGGCCCCTCGCGGGGGCCCCGCAGCAAGGGTCAGCTCCCCCACAGGCCTCCCCAGGCCAGCGTGGTGACCCCTGGACACGCCCGCTCACCCCTGCTCGCGCCTCTCCTCCCCCCAGGAAGCCCAGCCCTGGCCCGGCCCGTGCCGCCAGGCGCCTGGCGAGCGTCCAGCAGCGCCCCTGCAGGCCCGAGGCCCCGGAGGCGGGGGCGGGGCGGGGGCGTGAGGCCGCGGCGGAGTCCGGCTCAGTGCCGACAGGGACCTGCAAGACTGACCAAGCCCCAGGGCTCGGGGTGTCCCGGCGGGGGCCCCACGCAGGGCTCAGCCTCGCCGCCGCAGGGCCGCGCGGGCCGGGCAGCCACCAAGCGCCTATTTAGCAGACGGACAGCTGGCCCCGGGGTGCCGCCCGCCACGAGGGAAGGGCCCCCTCCCCGCCGGCAAGCAGGGCTGGGCCCCACCCCTGCCACCGGAGAGCCCACAGCGGGGGCGCCCAGACAGGGCCGCAGCAGCCCCCGCCCGAGGGGGGGACAGCACCCGACGCCGGCCAGGCCTGAGGGCTGCAGCTCCGCGAGGCGGTGCCGGGCGGTCAACAGCTGTCGGGGCTGACCAGACGGAGGGCCGGCCTCCATCGGCAGCCCTGGGCAGCCCTGGCCAGAGGCCGGCAGCGGTCAGTAGCGCCACAGCTCTCTGCACGTCGCCACCCCATCAGCCACAAGCGGCTCTCGCGGACACCAGGGCCAGTGCCCTGTGGCCCTGTGAGAGGCAGCGAGGCGGCCAGCCGGCCAGCTGGGCTCCTGGCCACTCTCCCGTCAGAGCCGAAAGCTGCGTGGTGACAGCGTCCAGCCCCAGCAAGCCAGGGGCCAGCCACAGCGCCCCAGCACCTCAAGCACGCCTGGGAGTGCAGGCGTCCGGGCCCAGGC